AAACTATTTAGAAAATAGGTCATAGACTTTTTTGTATATATCGGGCCTATAAGCTACAAGCCAGCCTATATCATATTATTTATTTTAAATAAAATAAACAAAATTATTATTTTAATAAATTTGAATAATAAAGTAATATTATTTTAGTTATTCTTTTAATTGTTGAATATTTAATAGGCTTAAACAGGCCTAGGCCAAGACTTTTATTTTTTAAATATAGGTCAGACCAGACTTGTAATTTGGAGCCTCCCAGACTAACGGGCCAGATCAGACCCAATATTTTTTTACATAGACTTAACCTATTTAAGTCAAAGCTCAGCCTAGCCTAACCTAGCCTATTTACACCCCTACCCACTGGTTCGTTGCTGTTTTATTCAAGTTTTATTAGTTTTATTGCGGATATTGTTGATTATTCATAATTTATTATGCGTACTCCACATACGGTACAAATTTATGGAAAATGTTAAGTATCTTTATGCGTTGTATATAAGGGAATATCATTAAAGCATATAAATAATGAGAAAAATGTTTGTCATTTTTGTTTTTGGTAAATAAGTGTTGTCATTTTAAATGATATAAAATTATGTCATTTTAAGAGAAAAAGATACAAAATAATATTTTTTTATTTAAAATTTAAATTAAAAAATCACTCACTTTCTCTCCATGATTTTTATTTCTTGTGTTTATCTCTCTCCTAAAATATGACATAACTTATATTCTTTAAAAGGACAAACATCAAACCCATAAATAATAGAGAGAAAAACAATAACCTCCAATTATATTTTTCTCTCTATACACAATGTTTTCTTTCTCTGCCGTAAATATCATTTATTTGTTTTTAATGCAGAAATAATATTCCTTATATATAAACTGGCAATCATTTATTGATTAATGATTTCATGCATAAATATTTGAGTTTAATAATAATCGATAATAAAATGATTGACAACTTTACCAATAATAAAAAAGAATGATTTATACCAAAAAAATAATAATAATAATTACCCAAGAGTTTTTATCTAATGTGACTCAGTTAAATATTAGGATTTGATCTGTCGTGAGAATAATGGTTCCAATCCTGAAAATCATAATTCTTGTCATGAAAAAGTGTGTGTCATTTTATTATAAAAAAAAAAAAAAATATGTGTCATTTTAAAAGATGTAAAATTTTAAGTGAGAGAAAGAGATAAATCATATGAGAGAGAAAGTGAACAAAACAAATAAAGGTGGAATCTCATTTCTTTGTGAAAGTAAAATGACACAAATTATGTCATTTAAAAGGACAGACACTTTTTCCTTCTTGGAAAGGTGAAGGGGCAAAAATCAAAAATAAAAAAAAAGTAGGTAATTGATCAAGGGAAAAATGTTTATCCTTTTTTTTTTTTTTGATAACAATGTTTATCCTTTTAAATAACACAACTTATATTATTTCACTCTCACAAAGAGGTGGGACCCACACCTTTATTTTTTTTGTCAACTCTCTCTCTTTCTTTATCTATTTCTTTCTCTCTCTTAAAATGACACAACTTTACATCCTTTAAAATGATAGACACGTTTTCCATTGATCAATTTGGTTTGGACCATCCAATTAGTCCGTGTTTTTAATAAATCAATGATGGACTTACTAATGAATCACCGTCTAACATTACTTGAAAATACTACATAGAAGCCTACTAATATATATATATATATATATATATATATATATATATATATATATATATATATATATATATATATATACCAATGTTATAAAAATCGGACCGACCCGGCCGGGTCGACCCGAAAACTGGTGAACCGGTCATGTAACCGGTCCGGTTTTCAAAGTGGACCGGCTATGTTACAAAACTGGTGTGACCCGGTGCGACCCGGCTGATTTTCGTAAAAACCGATGACCCGGTCGGTTCAACCGGTGACCCGACCCGGTCTAAAAAAAAAACTAAAAACTAATTTATTTTCATAAATTAATGTCTTTTTTTTTACTCTCAAATACAAATGGTTTGTTTTCTTTTGGAATATTTGAGTGATTTGTAACTTATTAACTTACATATATTTTGTACCTACAACACTAATATTATCTTGATTATGCAATATGCATGCAATTTTGATTTGATTTATAGTTAGAGATGTCGTTTACTGAACCTGAAACACTATTATCACAAATATTATATGTTTGATTGATCTTTTGTTGGACAATGATATGTAATTTATTATTTTCATATTAAAATATTTGAAATTAGTATATTTTTTTACAAGTATTTAAGTATATTTATAGTTTTTTTAATATAAATTGTAGATTTACATATACTTACCGGGTCATGCGGTTGAACCAGTGATCCACTAGTTGAACCGATGACCCAGTACTTCGACCGGGTCAATAACCGAGTCGGATTTAATAACATTGATATATACTACATAGAAAATCACACCCTTGTTATATGTGTTTAATTTTTTTTTTTATACATATGCGTGTTTAATTTTTGTCACCCAAGTTAATCAACGTAAGAGTTGGCCCAATAATATCTTAATATATAAAGAAAACAAAATATCTTTGACACCAGCTACATGATTAATTTGATATAACACCCCTCTGATTTTATAACGATTTATTATCTGCGTCCGCAAAGACAAGACATGCCAAATCCATACTTCATATTTGATCTTTGTCTTGTTCCAAAGAATTAAAGATGCATATGCTTTCGATACAATGAATCTCCTTAATCCTTATATACTCAAGCCTGTTTGGATGAATTTTTTTTCTTCAAAAGCTACTTTTTTTTTAAATTTTTTTTTTTCGTTTTTAATTCGTTTGAATATCTGCTTTAAAAAAAAGCATAAGTCACAAAAAAGTCAAAATTTTACTTTTTTCAGAAACTAAAAATTTTAACTTCAAAGAAAAGCAAAAGTCAAAAGTCAAATATTTTTATAAAAATATAAATAGCCTTAACTTTTATAAAAAATATTTTTAAAATAAAGAAGAAATAAAAATTATTCTTTTGAGAAACGCAAACAAAGGGGTCTAAGAAATAGAAGATAAACACACGCAGCTCATATCCGTCATTGTTCTTTACAATAATCTACTTTTTAAGTTGTTTTTTTTTTTTTTAAGTTACTTTTTAAGTTGCCTTTAAGTACCGTCCAATACATCTATAAAAAAAAAAAAAATAAGAAAATAAAGTACCAACCAATGTACGTTTCAAATAAAAATTAAGAAAATAAAAAAAATCAGTAAGAAGCGCTAAGATCTAAGGGTGTTCGCAATTTGGATTGAATTAGTCTTGAGCAAAAGTTATCCGATTCAATCCCTTCAATTTGATCATTTAATCATCCATGAAATTTGGATTACATCGATTTTCGATTTTTTGAAAAGCCTAAAATTTCAATCATATAAATCACTAGCTATATGAAAATAAAACCATTCAAAGTTACAACCCATTAGAAAATTCAAATCTATAAACTAAAACAAGTCTTAAAACTCATGAAGAGTTAAAATAGATTAATAGACAATAATAGTGTGAATGACAATCATTTTGTTCCTTAACACTATTTCTGAAAAGAAATAATTCTTTTTTATTTCTGTGCCTTAGAACAGTTTATGAAAAAATAAAGTGTTTCATGACATGTTCTATTTTTATTCCGATAATGAGAATTGTATTTGATAACACAACAAATAATATAATAAAAAAATTTCTATTAACTATAATTTTTTTTTCGAATCATCACTTTCCTTTACATATGATGCTGTGGTGGTGACAGTGGCGTGATGATGATAGTGGTGGCCTCAACACATTTTTGATTGGATGTATTACACATTTTATTGGAACTAATCAATTAACTATCCTAAGATTAAATTTGGCTAAGATCCTTTTTCATCTCTAGATTGTGTGTACATTGGGAGGTTGTACGTGTGTATAACAAGCAAATGTTCATTAATCATTACTTATTATCACAAAGTCGCGGTAACATGCAAATAGTTAATTTCCCTTTTATAATGAATAAAAATTTGAAAACGGCACTATCCTTGATGATTCTATACCCAATCATGCCGGAATTGTTCGGAATAACATATTTTTCCATGTATCTAACGGGTTGTAGACGGAGCACACTAAACTAAATAGTTAGTTCTGTCTGGTCAAATTTCGTGAAAATTTTCCTGAGCTCTCTAGTGCAACTCTAAAGAGAAGTTAAATTCATTTTAAGGACAAGTGATATCTATGTTAATAATTGGAAGCCTGACAAACTTAAAATTAAAATCTGAATTTTCTGTCTTGTTGCCTTTGCAGGCGTTTTTCCCTATCCGCAGTCTGCAGAAAAACTTGTACCAACAAAATAATTAAGACATATATATATATATATATATATATATATATATATGGTAAAATGATTTCTGCGGCCGCTGCACCTACAGCTAGCCAACGCGGATCCTAGGATTAAGCACTGGATCCTTGTTTTTTTTTTTAAAACGCCGTGGGGCCCACTTTTCTGTGTCAGCTATAGAGAGTATTATCTATGGCGGCAGCAGAAATGATAAGCCCTATATATATATATATATATATATATGGCTTATCATTTCTCAAGCTGCCGGAGATAACTTTATCTCCGGCTACTAAATCATAACCGTACAAAGATGGATCAATGGTGATAAAGGAAGAGAGAGAAAAAGAGAATCATAACCCTTCAAAGGTGAATCAATTAATATAAGGAAATAAATAAACAAAACGACATAGTTTTGGAGTAGCCGGAGATAAATTTATCTCAAGTTGCCGGAGAAATATTTTTCCCATATATATATATATATATATATATATATATATATATATATATATTTAGGGAAGGATCAGTTTACAAACTTTTTTTACAAATTTTTACAAATTACACTATGTACTCCTGGGAGAACATAGGGTAACCGAGTGTTCTCCCGGGAAAAGATAGTGTAGTTTGTAAGAGTTTGTAAACAAAAAGTTTATAAATATAATCCTCTCCTATATATATAACACGTTTTTCTCACTCATCACATTCCAATTACCTACTTTAACTGCGAGGACAGAATGGCTCCCTATTTCTTATTATCACTCCTGACTGATCTCTTCGAGTAATGCATGTTTCCAAAGTGCTGTTGTCCTTCACTGCAGATGTTTGCATATCAAAGGATAGTGATGCTGTAGCCGATGTGCCTGGCTCATATTTGACAATTAAGGCAAAGAAAAAGAACAGAGAGTATGAGATTGTTACATCTTGATGGAAGAATCACACATCGAATTCTATGAGAAGAAATATGCACACCTTGAGAACCACCTAATAGATGGTTATCTGAATGGTTTGCATTTAACTGCTGGAGCTGCAATATTTCTTCTCTACATATCTGCTTTACAATTTAATTAAAACAAAAATGTAAAATTGAATACTATTATTACTTTTAACTAGGTATTTGTAGTCTCACATGGTTAAGCTTACCTCAGAAGATCTTCTGGGTTGAAGTGGTCGTATATTTTCCGGAATCCGAGAATCTAGCCCGAAAGAAGTTCCTGAGTTGATTATATATGATGGGGAGAGCACTGATGGCTGATCTGCCATAGCGTGTTTGATAGGTAGATTGGATGAGTAGTGTATGGGGTTTTCTTGGTGCATTGGCAGAGAAGCTGTGGCATTTAAAGGGATAGACCTGTTTTCTTCAGCTAAATCCATTCTCATCTGAGACAACTGCAAAGGCTGCAACCCTTCTGGAAAGAACAAAGGATGCAAACTCAACCCATTTCTCATTGACAGCATCTGAAATATTAGCATAAATCCGGATTAGAAACAAGCTGAGCAGAATTTCTTCTCCTTTTCCCTATTCCACTATGCTCATAATTAAAGAGTAAACACTCCTCAGTGGGTTAGAAAATTCAAATTAGGAATATCTTCAAACACTATAATGTATACAACATTAGTGCATCATATATTTTGGGAAAACCATCATATTTTAAAAGTAGGAGGAGATTCAAATTAGGAATTTAATATACAACATTAGCGCATCATAATGTTATGCATATTTTATGTTCAATTATTTCAATACTGATTGCTCTGATGAGCATATACTGCAATGTTACGGAACAAAGAACATAACAAGCAAAAACTACAATAGTATGTAGTATAATAATTTCTGATGGAAGCCAATGAGTAATTCAACCTTTGGAATTCAAGTGAGTAAAGAAAGTTCCATACAGGAAAAGAATTACCCAAGTAAGGACAATATCAATGGAAAGATCCATGAATATAATGCCTTAAGGTTTTTTATCAACATGTGGTATCCTTGCAGTAAACTTACTCATATGCCTAAAAAAACATGGAATGAGATCTGCCCTCACAATGCAGTAACCTTACCGATGTGCTAAGGTTCAACTCTTTCTCAATTAGGAGAAATTTTAAAACTTATTGTCTTTACTGCCCTCTTTTATCACAATGAAATTAACCAAGATTTAGGCTTTAATTAATTGTCATGGTAATTTAGAGTGAACCTTTCCTTTTAGTCTTTTACCATGTCTCTGAGTAACTACAGGCTCCTAAAGATGCTATTAGAGGCGTCTTCATTAAAATTGCATATTCAGATCCATTCCAATCCAAAAGCACGTATAAATTATAAGTGCAAATAGCATGACAAAGAACATACTAGAGCACTCACTATGTTGTCATAGCAGACATACTTCCAAATTCAAACGTTTGAAATACTTTGTATCCTAAACCTTGCAATTATAAGGAGTATCAACACATGATCACACAATTGTCCAAAATTTCTCACAACAACAAAACAACTAAGATATTAATACTATGACTAATAACTTCGCGTAAATTCCAATTTAAGTAAGGATGTACAAGAATAAATAGAGCTCGCACATAGAACAATGATGCAGAGTACAAAAAGAGATACGGACCTGTACTTGGAGCTGAAGCTGTTTAAGGTAGTCAATAGCTTCATCAAGCATTGAAGCCTTATCAGTCTACGACACAACAATCCTCTACTGTTAAAAGAACAACGAGTCATACAGTTCGAACATCAAACTAAGGGAGAAGAAAGCAGTGTACCTTGTTAGAATTTGGAATTAGATTTTGCAAAGCCTTCAATTTCTCGTTGATCCTACTTCTCCTTCGCTGCTCAACAAGCCCCATACCAGACATAAAAAAGGCAGAAGGAAAATTACACAAGCATGAATAACAAATATTTGTTGGGGCAGAACCCAGAAAATTTTTGTTGGGGCTGCAGATGCAAGAAATATTTAATATTATAACAAATATTTAACAGTAGCTTTAACAAAGATACGAGGAGAGGTGTCTTATCCTGCCATCAAACAACAATTTACAAACCTTTTCAGAGAGGTTATGAACTTCCGCAGCTCTGCTCCTTTTTGATGAACTCCCAGAATGATCCAACTTTGGTGGAACTTGAACCTCTTCGGCCAGTGCTTCACCCTCCTACATTAAAAAATTGTCCTTTAAAAGGTGAATAGAGTACACAAGTGTTTTGCACACTTCAACTTCAAATCCACACTAAATAGCCCAAGCACTCCAAATAAGAAATTAAGTTACAAAGTTTATGGTCCTGACAATTATATACTCCTGGATTAGCTCATTTCTACTCGATGTGGATCTTTTATCATAAATATACCAATAATCAAAATGCAATTAATTTTTCCTACATACTGAGTTGACAACTAGAGAACTATATATATATATATATATATATATATATATATATATGTATTAACAAAGTTGAAGTAGTACCTCACTTTCACAGTCGTAGTCATCAGTTTCATTTTCACTCGCTACCACCGACACACGCGAGGCTGAACCGGAGAAAAAAGCGCGGTTCGAAGTGCGTATTCCGGTTGTGGAATCAAGGGGTGAGACCCCATCTTGGAGTGTATTTTTCATGGAGTTGGGTGGCACGTGGGTGGTGAGAGAGGAGGAGGATGAACGAAGGAGAATCTGACGCAGGAAAAGGGAGATTTCGTCTTGTGTGGAAGAAGACATATTTTCACCCATTTCCTTTTTTTTATTTTCTGTGATGTGTGCTTCTTTTTTTGTTCCTTGTTGAGAGTTGAGAGTGGGTTGCATCTGTTTGTCTGTCACATTATGAAACGAAGTAATAGAAAATGGTAAGGCAACTACTTTTGAGAAGAAACCGATGGAAAAAAGAACCAAAAGGATATGACATGGGGAATTGTGCACTGGTTTTGGATCAAAAAGTATGGTTCGCTGACACCACCACTGCCACGCGCCATAACAATGATCCTCTTTCCAAAATCAGTTTAAAGTTTTGAGGGACAAGTTGCGTCGTGTTTGCTTCAACTTCAATGTGAAAAAAGTAATTATTTCTTTTTCTTACTAAAAGAAAAAAAACAGATACTAAAAAAAGCCAGGGAAAAATTGTTATCGATTAATCTGAGTGTATATAAATTATATTAAATTAGCAATTAATATGAGTGTATAATGCGAGAGTAATAAGAGATTATTTCACTCAATGAAGATTTTTTTTTTTTTTTTTTGGTAATAAAGAGGAGCTAAAGGCTCCAAACACAACTCAGTTCAATGAAGATTCTATTTTATTATATGGCAAATGCGTCGTTGAAGAAAATTTTTGTAACGTATAAAAAGTTAGGATACGTACGTGATCCTATTTTTTTTTTAATGTCAGGATTTGCATACGAATCTTAGTGTAAATATAATTACTATAAAGTTTATCATATGCAACAATAGTAGAAGTGACGAATTCTTATTATATAGAGTTACTTTTTCTCCTTTAAATTTTTTTAAACTTGCAACTCACATTTAAGTTGAATGATATAAAAGGTTTAAATTATTAAAATATGATTATACAAAATTTATTTCGAACAATAAATTATTATATGTTATGCAACATTTTTGTATTGTATTTTATTTATTGGATAAAACATTTCTTAGTAAAAGCAATAATCACACAAAATAAATAATTTAAACATTTGACATCCCATAAAAAATTTCTTTTTGAAGAGCTAGTCTCACCATGATATGGATGTTCCCAACTCATACAAAATTGCCTATCATAAAGGATACATGTGATTTATATAAAAGAAAAATTTAATACAAAACGAGTCGAAGCCCAAAAGAAACAAAAACCAGCTAGAAAACTAGGCTCCATCATCAAGAGTAGCAATGGCCCCAAGCAGTGAAGGATGTCTTGGTGAATGATCAATCTATCTACTGAATCAGAGGGAAGGTTTGCCAACCAGTCCGCAGTTCTATTCTTCTCCCAATTGACATGTGTAAATCATGGATCTCCTACTTCTTAGGATTTGTTTGAGAGTTTCTATTTGGATGGAAAGGAAATGGAAAGGAGAAGTTTTGATGATACATTCCCTTGTTTGCGAGTTTAAGAAAGTGAGAGGAAAGAATTGGGAATTTTCACAAAATCTTCCAAAACTCTTCTTATTCTTAAAATTAAAGTTCCCAAATACATGGGTTTTAAGAGATAAAATGTTTTAAATTACTTATTTACCCTTTCTTTTCTTCCCAAATTTGTCTTTCTTTTCTAACGATTCTGAATGTGCATATGAGAAACTTTTCTTTCTCTTTTTCTATTCTTTCTCGGTAACTAAACATGTTTTGCTTCTGTTATGTCTTTGATTTTGTGTTATTCTAACACATTTTTTTTTCTCTTTTTCTACATAGGGATTTCACGGCGCGAGGTGCATAACATTACTTCGTGTTTTAACAGAGCGGATATTGCAGCCAATCACAAGGAAAATGCACAAAAATCTATTGACCCAACACTGCATAGGTTCATCGCCGAAGAAAAAAGTTTGATTTCCGGAGCTTGTTCTTGTTATGCTTATTCAGTGCTTGTTTTCGGTAGTTATTTTTTTTTGTACAAAATGGGTTTTATTTTATTCGTTTGTTAATCCCTTTTAAATCATGTAAATTGGCCCATCGATATGATACTTGAGAGTGTGTGCCCACAAACTATTTGATGTATGATCTGAATCATAGAGAGTAAAAACTTAAAGCAGAGATGGTCCTTATCGTTGTTATAGTGTGTTGTTTTCATTGTGAATATTAGTCAGTATCAACTCTTATTTCTATTTTTAAACTGAAATAGGAGCAATCTGAACCCAATATTGTCTTTGGGAGGGGTTTAACCCTTAATTATGGGACCTGCACAGAATCGGACTAGTCGCGAAGAAATGAATCGATTGGAATATCTCAAAAAAAGAAAAAGAAATAAATAGTGTAGTATTTCTTTTGGTTCATCAAGATGTAGCGCAGGTCCTCCGAATTCAACCGCGGAATCCTTAATTCTTGGATTGATTAAAGAACGCTTAGCCTAGCATGGCTACGTAGAAAACCATAATTGAAATTAAGAAAATAAAGAAGAACAAGAGAGAGAAAACGTAAATTGCAATTGAATCTTGAAACTGTAAAAACATAAACTCTCAAAACGAAAACTAAAACTAAAATTGAATGACAAGGTCTCCTAAACATGCCTCTATATAGGCTCTACAAGTCTGACCTAGTATAAAAGGAAATAAAAGATAAATAATAGATTTGGGCCTCATAAAGTTTGGGTTCCCAATTACAAACTCAAATCCAATGAACTAATTAAAACTGCAGCAACTCGTGATGAACTTGGGCTTGATTTTCAACCATCTTATTGTCCGAACTGGGCTTTCATGTCTTCATAACATTTGTATCCCTCTGAGTTAGATACAAAGCGCAACAAGAATGGGGTCAATCGGACATCTATGGAATGAGTTATGGTCAAAATATTGCAGTAACGTAAATCTGAATTTTTATTACAAATTTCAAAATAAACCCAATTAAAAACCCAACATCTAATTTAACCCAAAGACCATTATTTACACACTAAACAATCCAAAAATCACTAATCAAGAATAACAAATAAGTGTAATAAATATTAATTATCAAATTTTTCCACACTTATCCTTTTGCACTACTGAGCAAAATTAAAACTTGAAACAAAAACTAAAGGAATGACAAAACAAAGCAAAAGACTAAAAGATAGCCAATGATTTCTAACAATTGGTAAGAATATAATAATCTGAACAAGGATAATAAAGCTTCAAAAGATCAACCAATTAAGATAGACATTCCTTCATCTTAAATTACAAAACATAGTAATCTCATTCAATAATGCTAATCACACAAGATGGTCTCTCAATCAATCTCTCAAGTGAGTAGGGAAAATCAGTGTATCACTCAAGTTCCACTCAAGAAAATTGTCCTACCATAGACTTGCTCAATTTCTACTTCTCCACTACTCAAAACACATGCATGCAAAAATCAAGAGGACTTTTTACAAGGTTGTATTAGGGCTAGGGTGAAAGTATGAAAAAAATGGAAATAAGAGGCTAAGCACCCAAGAAAATTTAAAGATCAATGGTTAAAACCAAACTAAAGAAACAAAACAAGAACTAAAATAAAAAAAATAAAAAAAGACAAAGATTAAGACAAATTAGTTAGGTATTTAATGAAATGATTAAAAAAATATTTAATAACAAATAATTGTAATTTTTTTAACTTCATTGATGGAATATAAATTTATTTATAATTATTAATCATTTAGTAAGAATAAGTAACCACTCAATAAACAATGATAGTTATTTAATCCCCCCCTAATATTTAATATATAACTCTTTAAAGGGAGGATATACTTACAACCTAAAAATTTTACAATTTTTTATCACCAATCTTAATTGTTAATTTCTGTCAATTTAATGGTTATAATTTATTGAGAATTAATAATTAATTAATAAGTGTGACCCAATAAATTATAATCGTTAGATTGACGGAAATCAACAATTAAAATTTTGGTGGTAAGAGTTGTAAAACTCTTAGAGCATGTTTGGTACATAGTATAGGATAAGGCCTGATAGCATAAGACTTGTTGTATAAGACCTGATTATATAAGACCTGATTAAATTTTAAACTATCCGTCGTTTGACATGTTATTGTATAAGATAATATCATCTAATATTTGGTAATGCACTGTATAATACTAGATAGGATAAAAATAAATATTTTTAACAAAAATACCTTTTAATAATGAATTTATATAATTCTTCCAAATATATCAGATGATCTTATTTTTTATAGAAATCTGTTGATCAGTGTGTCCAACAAATATATTAATTTTTATAAAAAAAAAACCTCCAATATTTTGAAAAATTATATATTGAAAAATTATTTTTTATTTTAATATATTAATATTAAAATAATATATTAATTCTTGAGAATTGCATTGGATAATACATCAATCCCTTATCAAGCCTAATCCTATCCTCTTAGGCCTAATTAAGTTATACGTCATTTTGATGTATAAATGGATCCTGCTGTATAAGCTTATACTATACAATGGTCACACCAAACAACTAAAAATGTCATAACTAATAGTATAAGCTTATACTATCAGGCCTTATACATTACACCAAACAGGCCCTTAGGTTGTAAGTATATCTCTCCCCAACTCTTTATAATCATCATCACTTAACTAGAATAAATAACCACTCATTAACAATCATCTTCATTTGTAAATTTTTTATAACTTCATATATATAAAATAAATCTTTATTTATAAGTAAGAATAGATAATCACTCAAAGAAATAACTATATGGGTAATTTTTTTTCTCTCTAAATTTTTTATTTAATATATATAACATGCTCGTCATTTAGTAAAAATATGGACTATTAACCAACAAAAAAAATATATGGATTACTCATTAAGAATTAATAGTTATTTACAAATTTTATTATAAGGGTAATTTTATTGGGTATATAAAGTTTCTCCATGAGATAATTATCTCTTGTGACCCCAAATAATGTTGTTTGGGAGAAAATATTTTTTGTCATGATAAAGATAAGTATAGAAATCAAAATTAAAAAAAAAAATTCTTTCCTCAACCTTTGGACTTTTATGGTCATAGAAGATAATTTTTTTTTTTTGGTGGAAAATAATTTTATATCTTAAACATTAAACCCATTCTTATTTATTTAGACAAATATTCTGATTATTTTCTCTAAATAAGATTTA